GGATCTGCCACAGCAGTATGATCAATGTTTGAAGTTTTGTTAAGTTCACTGAAGGAAGCTAGAATGTTGGTTGGAAAATCTCAAGCAATTACAGTGAGGGCAGAAGCATTTCCTCAGAAGTAAGTCCCACTGAGTTAAGCTGGACAGCAAATGTGTTTAGAATTGCAGGTGTAAGAGTGCTATCCTAAGTGGATGTAGCTGTGTGCAAAGCATAAAATCTACTGCCCCTTCCAAAGCCCTGCTGCTTTCTGCAGGCCAGAGCAGGAGCGGGTAGATGTACATGGGGCAAACATCCCTTTCCACCCCTTTAAAAAAATGTGTTGGATCGGGTGGGGATTAATTAAGCCATCTCCAAGTTAGCATAAAGGCAGTGCCGCATCCTAGGGCCTCTCTGACTTAAAAGGGGCCTTGGGTCCTTCAGATCCCAGACCGTCACCATCCCACCCCTGCCCCATCCCAGAAGTGCCATTTTGGGGCCTGACACTGACTCCTGGTGGTGAAAGAACTGCCAGTGGTAGCTTTAGGCAGGTGGATATTTCCGTGGGGACCTCGAGGGTGGAGGGTGCCTGCCCCACTGGTGGTGCTCTTCTCCTTTGCACAATCTTAACCCCTTCCAGCCAGCATATCTGGAGGTTAGGATTGTTCTGTGGAAGGGGCTGTTGCTGAGCATTGCATGTTATATACTTTTCCTTTGTCTTTATAGCCCCATGTTGCCCATTTTCTGATATTACTTTGCATTTTAGGAGATTTGAACCAAGGCCTGGCTTTAGCCTTTGATGATTACATTAACGGAAGAGCGTGAGGTGGACAATCAGGTGGTTTTAAAATCTGGATCTATCAATATTCTGTTTTAATAGCAGACTTGATTATCTCTTTCTACAAATCCTGTTTAAAAGGAAATCTGAATTTAATTGAAGCGTAAAGTTCTCAGAACTTGAATTCCCTGTCCGTTTATCAAATCCTGTTTAAAAGTTGCTTTTTATGTAGAATAGAGTTATGGGAGAAAATGTCTGACCTTCACAGTTACTGCATTATGAATAAGTTGTGTGTTGTATTTGTGGGAGGGATGCAGGTGGCGCTGCGGTCTAAACCACTGAGCCTCTTGGGCTTGCTGATCAGAAGGTCGGCGATTCGAATCCCCGCGACGGGATGAGCTCCCATTGCTCTGTCCCAGCTCCTGCCAACCTAGCAGTTCGAAAGCACGCCAGTGCAAGTAGATAAATAAGTACTCCTGTGGCAGGAAGGTAAACGGCATTTCCATGTGCTCTGGCACTCGTCACGGTCCTCCTTGCACCAGTAGCGGTTTAGTCATGCTGGCTACATCAACCGGAAAACTGAACAAACGCCAGCTCCCTTGGCCTAAAAGCAAGATCAATGCCGCAACCCCATAGTTGCCTTTGACTGGACTTAACCATCCAAGGGTCCTTTACTTTTTAACTTTTGCATTTGTGGGATTCCTACTATAGACGGGGAGTAGCAAGTCAGTGCAGGGACTTGGAGTCCTGAGATGCTATCCTGTGTCTCACTAGTGCTGTCCACAGAGCCAGTGCAGTTGAGTACTACCTGCCTGAAGGCAGAGATGATTTCCTACTGAACTTACCATCCAAGGTTAAAGTGTTGGAAGCAAGCGGCCCCTGTGGGCTTGTAAGAAGGGCTTGTGAACTCACTCTAGACCTTTAAATTTAATGAGTTCTTAACTGAATAGTTAAGCCATCAAAATATTATTAGACTCTCCATACATGTTTTCTGGCTATCTGATGTAGACAGTGATTAAGCCTTGCCTTTTACAAGGGTTGCTTGGAACAAGAGGCCAAGGAGCATGCTGGCAGCACCGAACACCTTTTATGGGGCAGCGGCAATTAAAATCTGATTTAAAAGCTCCATTTAAAACTGTAGTTAACGAAATAATCAATTGTTTCGATTAATGCCTCTGGGCCTATGCGCAGTGCTTCTTGGCGTAAGGAAAATGAACTGAGCAGTGGAGAATCTTAAGAGATGAGAATGGCATTCTTGAACTTCATTTTTTTGGGGGGGGGGGGGAGATTCAAAGGAAAAATCTGTTTGCTAAAGTTTAAAAGTTGGCCCGAAAGAAAAGCAAATGTTCAAACGCTTATTTATTTATTATTTATTTTTGATGATGCAAAAAAAGGTATTTTCTAACGGAGGGAGGATTTCTTTCTTTTCTTTTCTTTTCTTTTTTACCAGGGACAGAAATCCTTCCGACCTGCATCTGTTCTAGTGAGTTCCCAAATTCTGCATGTGGCTGCTTGGTGTCTTTACCCAGCAATTCTAATGCAGTGGGGGAAGGGGGGGGAAAATGTTTCACATCTGTTATCCTTGCCTCAGAGATACTTGGATCCTGCCAGATCCTTTCCCTAAATCTATTCTCTCCCCCAACCCCCAGTTTAGTTTTAAGAAAATTACTGATTTACCAACTTTACAAGGAATTAAAAACAACAGACAACTGGCTTGCTGACTTGACAGCTGCTTTGCCACTGCCAATTTTCCTATTCCTGTTGAGCTGCCATAGTATTAATAGAGAAGAGCTTCAATTTTCTAGGGGGGAAATTGAAAGGTGTTCATGCTTTATATTCATTTGTTAGAACATTTAGAACATCCTGGCTTTTGACTTTCAGACATCTCCTAAAGCCCTTTTTTATGGCAACAGGCCTATGCAATAGCTTACAATTTTCTAGAGTAGCCAGTCATTTTAATGATTGTCCCGTGCTGCTTTTTAAAGGGCTTTATGTTGTACACTGCCCCAGCGTTTTGCGAGAGGGTGCTGCATAAATACTTTTATACATAAATATTTATAGCCTGCCATTCGTGTGAAAATACACCACTCAAGGCCATTTGCAATGTATAATAATGTAAAATTAATTAAAACGGCGCAAAACAATTAACGAAAGAGGCAGGGTTAGCAGTTTAAAAATCATTAAAACATTGTATGCCCAATGAATTAAAAACCTGCACTATCCCTCACTCTTAGCCATGTTGCTGGGTGTTTGTATTCCAACAACATCCGAAGAGCACCATGTTGTCTATCCCTGCTTGAAGGATTTTGAACCTACCGTACTTTTCCGTGTATAAGACGAGGTTTGTTTATGATAAAACAATGTTAAAAATTGGGGGTCATCTTATACACAGAAGAGAGGGGGGCAGGGGATTGGTTGGGAGATTGTCATTGGCGATTGGACGGCTGATTGGCGGCGAGCAGGCATACGATTGGTGGCTTCGGCGACACGTGCAATTGTCAGTGTTGGTCTGAATGGTGAGCAATCCGCCCCCTGAAAAGCTCAACAACTCTGGGCAATCTCCCCCCATTTTCTTAATTTGGAGTCCCCCAAAATAGAGGTCGTCTTATACATTGGGGGCGGGCGGGTGTTATACACGGAAAAATATGGTAAGTCATTTGGGGCTTTAAAGGCAATTGGCAACACTTTTGAAGTGCACCCAGAAGCCCTGCAACTGCTGCATGATCAATATAACGTCAAAAAAAGCAGATGCCATACAGCCGTACAGAATCCAACAACATACCAAGGGTATGAAATCCACATTTTGAAGTGCTCAGGGCTCCCCCCCCCCCACTTCATCAAATAAGATCTCCCACCATTCAAGGGCTATGCTTTCCCCACCAGTTACCACACCCCTACAGCTAGTGTGGGAATAGACTCTCCTCTCCTATTTGCTTACCCCATATGTTGACCCATGCTGCTCTGCAAGTTGAAGGAAGGCCAACAGCATCACTTGGTCCCCCTGCCATTTCCTTTACTTTACCATCCTGCTGCGCATCCAGTTTTTTAAAAATAAAAATGAGATCAAATACTACTGTGCATATTTGCCTCTTTAAAAGTCCACCCCAAACTCTTTCTTCGCTTTGTAGAGCAGCAGCAGCAGCAGCTCTGAATGCCTCATGGAAAGTGAATCATAAATTAAGTAAATATTAATAATAATAACAATGATAGTGGCACGGAAGAAAGGTAACATTTCCCCAGAAATGGTGAAACTGTGACAAGGCTTGCCCCATAGAGAGGGGAATGGAACAAAGAATGGTGTAGAAAATTCGCATCCATGAAATTACTAAGTTTCCCCCTGCCCCGTGACCGCACAGGAGAAGTTGACACGCTTTAAAAAGCCCTTCCCAAATGTGCACGACTCCTCTATGGCAAATATGGTTGGTGAAGGCCAAAAAAAGAGGTTTTGGTAGAACACGCCTGTTGATAGGTTTTGCAAAAAAGTTCAGGAAGGTCGACACTTGATTTTCCTTGTGGCCAACAAGCATATTTCTGAAACCCAGAAACTTCACTGCTTAAGTAGTAAATAAATGCCTTTAAATAAATAAAAGTAAAGTGCATTTAAAGGCACACACCTGTCTTCCACATACGTATACCAATGGTAGGAAAGAGCCCCAATAGCACTTTAAATGACAGATTGAAATCTGCTTCAGGTAGTGCTTTTAACATACATGCCATTAACACATATTTAGGAAGGCATATTGGGAAGACGACCACTCGTGGCTGTTCTGTAGTTCTCTATAACAAATTGTTTTAAATGATCAACTGTTTGTCTTGTTTATAGCAGAAGAAAATAAAATCTGTGCCTAAGATAGATTCAAGTTTTCCTTTCTAAAGAAAATGTTATTGGTTGTGTTTTTTAGCTGCAGGCGAGATAAATGAAAGAATCCCAGTAGCATACAAAACTTCAATTTGCTTAGTACGTTTTAATAAACTTGCATTTCTGCTGGTGCTCCTTCTATCTCATAGTGTCATATTCCAATCTACATTATTACAGGAGTAATATAAAGTGCATTCAGCCACCCTTTTTTTTGTTGTGGCTTTGTGCAACCTTTCCTGTTACGTCACAACCACATCTAAATTAGATACGCATGTGTAAAACATCCTGTTGCAGACTTCAGCCCGTTTTGCCAAGCTGGAATGTGAAATTGGCAAGATTATCTCCCATTTAAAAATAGTTCTTGTTCTCGGGAAGTACATTGTAGTGCTGGGATAGCCTAGTTGGTAGAGTTTGAGCCTCTTAATCTCAGGGCTGTGGGTTCAAGCCCCATGTTTGGCAAAAGATTCCTGTATTGCAGGGGGTTGGACTAGATGATCCTTGTGTTCCCTTCCAACTCTGCAATGTTATTATTTATTTGCTGAATTTATATCCTGCCCTTCCTCCCAAAGGAGTCCATAGTGTTGGAAAGAGGGATTCCACAGTATGGAAAAGCGAAAAGAAGCAAATCTACTAAAGCTGAGAACAATACTGCTTTAAAGCATTTCAACCCTGCCTTTTGGCCCCCAAAGAGCACCCTCCCAGCTGGCTTCCAGCAAATAGATACAATGATGTCTTCTTTACAAAGAACATTAAATAACCTCAGTTAAAACAGCAGGGGATATAAAACCAGGTCAGGTACAAATGCAACAACCAGCAGCGTGAGGATAAAAAAAACAAGGCAAATGAAAAACTTGACAAAATAATGAAAAGGTTTTTGCAGCCTACCTAAAACGCAAAAGCAAGGGAGCCAGCTTAGAATATGTTGTAATTCTCCCAGCATTTGGAGGCACTAGCAACCCCTCATTAAAGAGATTAGGAACAGTCCACCTGCACTGGCCTTTTCTCATGAAATAGTTTGTGAGTAGTAGTACTGGTTGTTGTTGCTGCTGTAATGCTATAAAAGACAACTCCCATCCTCTTATTCTTCTGCCTGCCCATACCCTCGAAGAGTCACGATTTTCTAGGGACAGTCCTGGAATTATGAAAGCCATCCCAGCTTCTGATTTGATCCTGGAATGTCTCTAGTTTCCTGGCCAGTGCCTCTACTGCCATGCTCAGGGAGGAGGATAAGCCAGCACTTTCCCTGAACAACGGTGGTGGTGGTGGCTGCCAGGGAACACCCCATTGCCTCTCCATGGACTCTCCATGGCCGGTGCTGCTGGCCACCTCCCCTGGGCAGCCCATAGTGGCTGATGGAACGTGGGCAAGAGGCTGTGGCTGCCAAGGCCCAGGCCCTTGTGACGTGCCAGCTCTGTGAGGGGCAAGCAGGGGCAGGGCAGTCCTGGGCAGGAAGAAAGGGGGAGTGGAGCACAGTGGGGAGCAAGGAGTATTGATTAAACAGAAAGTGCATCCATGTCTAATCTTGCCCTTTTCTAAAAATTGTTTATTAGTGTGTATTTCTCTTTTTATAAAACTACCAAAGAATCAAACCAGAATTTAGGGATTTTCTCAGGATGGTGGAGGGTTTGTGTGCTATGTCCCATTGGCGTAGTGGTAGCGGCAGTTGCTCTTCTTTTGATAGAAAATGCTAGGTAGGGGGGAGGGGGACAAAAAAATGGGGTGTTAAGGAGGGTCTGTTGCAGGGAGTGAGAAATGTTCCTATTTTCATCTGAGGAGTGTTGGCGGGTGTGCCAGCCTATCGTACCGGTTTTTCAATGCACTCACCCACGTCTACAAAAAGTAGTTAATTTGCATTTATAAGCAGTTCTGAAAACCTTAGTTGGTTGTGATTTAAAAGCAAAACAAAAAATGAACCATGCTTAATTTAGGATATGGGGGGAAAAGATTTCCCATGTTTCTGTGTCCTTTTGTGCTATGAATGAAATTGTGCGCTGAATGCTTTCTGATAAGAGTTAGTTATTGTATTTATTAGTTCTATGTTAGCGGAAGTAGATAGAAGAAATGCCCTTAATGGAGGGACTAGAGTGACATCTTTTCCTGAGCTTGCCCTACTTTTTTTTATTTAAAAACTCGGATATTTTTGGTGTGTGGCTGTCATTTCCAAAAGGGCTGCTTCCTTGGAGAGTGGATGTTCTGGTCCCAAAAGCAGCAATTTCCTTGATTTCAGATCTGGCTTCTTTGCTCTCTGGGTAAATGAAATTATTTTAAAAGGGATCTGCTAGAGCAAGAGAGCCATGAAAGAGATCAGACTTGAAAATAAATACCATATTTTTCGGCCCATAGGGCGCACCGGCCCATAGGACGCACCTAGTTTTTTGGGGGGGAAATAAAGAAAAAAAAATTTATTTCCCCCCCAGGCGCGGGGCTGGGGCGGGGGAAGCCCGAGCTTCCCCCGACCCCAGCCCCCAGAACAGGTAGCTCTCCACAAGCCGTGGGAGGGCTGCGCGACTTCCTGAAGCCTGGAGAGCAAGAGGGGTCGGTGCGGCTTCAGCGAAAGCCTGCATTCGCCCCATAGGACGCACACACATTTCCCCTTCATTTTTGGAGGGGAAAAAGTGCGTCCTATAGGGCGAAAAATACAGTACCTATTACATTGTCCTAAGTTCTTTGGACCCCCCCCTTTTTTAAAACACAAAAAGTTAATTTACAAACTCACATATTTTTAAATTACTAGTTGGCCCCATAAAAGGTCTATCCTCACTGATTCTGTATCTTTCTTCCTTAATGTGATTGGTTTTATTGTCCATTCAGTGCTAGATATGCATGAAGCAGGCAGGAAAGCGGAACTGTTCAGCATTTGGATGTTAGCGATTCCTTGTTTGCAAATAGGTTTTAATTCCTAATTGTGTGTGACCTGCGATGAGGAAGCTGACATTCTGAGCATAGAATGGATATATGCAAAATGATCAGTCATTTGCATAATTATTCTGCAATCTTTTGGAATGAGTTTATATGGAAGTTATAGAGGGAAGAAAAAGAACTAGGGTCAATGGGGCACAGAAAGTGGGGTGGGGTGAACAAGCCCTACTGATAGCCAGAAGGCTTCCACACACACCCTTTTAAAATTTTTGAAATATACAGACAAAGATGTTGAAGGTTTATAATGTAGATGTTGAAACACAAAAAACACTTAAAAATAAGTGCCTCTCGATGCTGAATCTTGTGCCAGATCCTTTATTCATGCTTTGTGCAGAGATGTGCAGAATGCTGACTCCTCTTGTGTATTCCTGAAATGCCTGCCTTTTGTGTAAGCCCTTCTACCTGTGAACTTTTCTTTCTAAAATTTAATGATTGGATGAGACTTTTTCCGCCACAGGAATGATGGCTGTAGAGAGATACCTGTGGAAAGCATTACTTTGGAACTGCAGATCGACTTGGAGTTCTCTGGGAAAGCTCAGTGTGCAGAATGCTAGATTCCTTTCCTGCTGTCTCTTGCTCACGCTTCTTTTCTGAAAAGCAAAGCCAAACCCAGCTTATTCTCTTATGCGTATCTATATAAATAGCTACACACGTACAGCCTGAAACATGACTGAGCTGACCACATTGTTTTTCTTGATTGCCAGGAAGAGAATGTGGTTGGTTTGTTTTACTGTCAGGAGAAGGTTGCCTGGCGTGCAGGCATCTCACCCTCCACTGTGATGCTTTTAAAAGGAAGAGGATAACACTTTCATTGAGGTTGCCTCACTGAGCTTTGTACACTTAAGATAAATATCCCATGTACTGAGCTGTGTCTAATACCTAATTAAAAAGGGATGGGGGGGGGAGAGAAAGAAGCCAGAACCACAGAGGTGAGAACTTTGTGTTTCTAATCTGCCCTGTTTTGTACTTTTCCAAGTGCTTGACATAGAAGAACATCCAAGTGCTTGATTTCAGATCTGATAGAAGAACATCCAAGCACTTTTCCAAGTGCTTGACATAGAAGCAACATGTGGTTTGTGTTGGAGAATCTGAAACTTGAGACACATTTCCATTTTGGCGTGGTCAGCGCATGGATCTGAAATGGGGAACCTGTAGCCCTCCTGGTGTTAAATTGTGGTTCCCATCACCCCTGACCTTTGGCTGTGCTTGCTGGGGCTGATAGGAAATGGAGTCAAATCACACCTGGTGGCCACAGTTTTTCCATCTGTGTCTTTGGCTTTGGACTGGCTTGCATATCACTTTACACTGCAGTGAAGCTTAACTATGGTTTAGAAGTGAACACACAGAGTCGTAGTGCAAGGAGATAAAACTGCAGCCACTTGGCTCCTCTCCTACTGCTTGCAGAAGCTCTAAACAGAGGCTTGCAATTTCCCACTCTTTAAAAAACCATGAGTGGTATAAAGTCTTATTTACAGTTTGTGGTTTATTTTGAGCGAGGTATTAAACATGGGTTTGGATGTAACACCAAGCCAAACCATGACTTAGGTGCTGGCTTCACGGCAGGAATAAGAGAGGAATGAAGCAGCTGTGATTTTAGCCCAGTGTACCACCAGCATGCGCTGCATTCATCTCTAAATTCTAGGTGAGTGCATTTATGTATTTCCTTGCACATCCCATTCAAACAGAGTTTAAAAAATCACACACTTATGTTTCCTCCCTCCCCTGTGTGAACTCTTGGCATGGAATTTGCATAGAGCAGCTCCACTGGAACAAGAAGTGACCTCTCCCATTCCGTGTTAGTACTTAGATTACTTCCATTCCTCATTTTCAATTTGTACTTCTAACTTTCTCGCCCTTGGTGAAACACTTCACTTTGATTAGCATCCCATTTGCCATAGCTGGTCCAGAGTGCCTTGTTAGACAAACCTTGCCCCGACTAATAAAACTGCTTGTCCATACAAAACGTGAGGATAAGCTCATTAAAACGTTTGGTTAATAGTTTGTAATGCTGTTACAATGACTTGCGGCAATCTGTTTCTTCCCTTTCTATCCTGGCAAGCACTGTGGAGATGGCAAAAGCAGCGCCAGTGTTTGTGGGTGCAAAAACCTGAATTGAACACTGAATTATCATACAATGTTCAGGAGGAAGAGGGTAGAAGGAAAAGGAGCACAGCATGGAAATTGTAAAGGTTGTGCAGTCTTGCTTTAAAGGCAGCCCAATCAACAACTGTCCACTGATGGAAGCAGTAGACTTCTGAATAGCAGTTGCTGGAAACCACAGGTTGGGAGAGTGCTGTTATGCTCAGGTCCTACTTGTGGGCTTCCCATAGGCTTCCAGTTGGCCGCTGCAAGAACAAGATGCTGGACTGGATGGGCCACTGGCTTGATCCAGCAGGCTCTTCTTATATTGTCCAATAGCAATACAACTTGAGTATTGCAGCAAAGAGCTTGTGCAGATAATTTAGTTTCAGAGCAAAAGGAGTGACCTCCCATCACTGCCAGTGATTAGTGCTGTACTTGCTATAGCCTCAATTCTGCAG